GCCGCACCCGAGGCCGCGCGGCGTCACAGAGCGCATGCGTGCCGCGGGGGATGCCGGGAGCGCGCAGTGGCGGCAGCGGCGGCGACGGCAGTAACAGCGGCGGCTACAGCGGGGACGCGAGTGGGGCTGTGACCGTGTGGGAGGTGGTCTCACTCTTGGGGAAACTGCTGGGCACCGTCGCCGCGCTGAAGGTGGTCTTGTATTTGCTCCGGGTGTGCTTAGCGATGGCCTGGAAATCCGGCGGCGCCAGCCACTCGGAGCTAATCCACAATCTCCGCAGTAAGTGCCACCCCCGCCCGGTGTGGGGCAGCTGGGTCAGGCTGGGCCTGGAGCGGGTCCCCTTAGGCCTCCGGAACGTTCTCTACCCCACCCCCCTGCGCTATCCCCCTTGCGCCTGTTGGAGGTCTTTGGCGTAGGGCTGCACCGGTAGTCCGAACGGCATGCGCTTGCGATGGCCTCCCTGGGGACCTGTCACTCGTCGTCGACGTGGAGGGGAGGAGGAGAGAAAGAGCAAGGGGCCGCTGCTGATGGGGCAGGGGCAGTCATCTCCTCGCGGGCCTGGGGGAGGGTGGCGGCACAGGTGGTGGGATTATCATTCGAGTTGGCCGTCCGTGGCCGGCAGGCGAGGGGCGTGCCCTCGGGGTGCAGAGGTCTGGGCAGGCCTCCTAGAAACTGGGCTGGAACTGAGGGGACCCCACCCTCGCCCCCCGCGTTTTCTCACCTTCCTCCTCCTCTTTCATAATCGACCTCGCTGCAAGCTTTCTCTTATTCTGCCTCCCCCGCCCTCCGTTTTTTCCTCTGGAGGGAGATGCCACCGTCTGATACAGGCGAGGGGAGGGAGAGGCAGATGAGAGGACTGCCACTGCGGATGCTAGGAGAGATTTCTCAGGCGGCTGTCCAGTCGAGAGCTCTGTGGGGGGCGGAGGAAGAAAGAATCAGGGGATGCTGTTCTTGAGAGACTTGTATTTCAGGAGCTTTTAGAGGTCCTGGCTCCAGCAAACCATTATGCGTGTGGAATGTTCTAACTTTCTGTGTCATTCTCTTTAGTTATTGTACTCCTTCCTCTGCTGATAATTTTAGGGTGGGATGAGTGCTGTGTCACTTTCTTTTTTTAAATCAAAGTATATCCCGCCTTCTGGTCAGGAGACTAGAAGGAACGCATTCCATAATAATCTCACTCTGATCAGAATTTATAGCACTTTCTTTGCCACCAACTTTGCAAATAAGCATATCCTGCCATGTGATATTTGTAATTGTCCTGTGTTATTTAGCTTTTCATGTTTGTCTTATCTCCCAACTCGATTTGTAACCTCCTTGAAGGCTGGGACCCACTTAAAACCAACCAACAAACAAAAACCAACCTTTGAATCCTCTCAAAGAATGTAATACTCTTTCCTTTTTACACAAGTGCCAATGAAGTGTCCATTGTATGCCTAGATCTGTGCTAGGAATACAGAGGTGAAAGAGAAATAATTAGTACTGTTTGGCACATGTTAATATGTTAGTCATTTGACTTTTTAAAACAGTACTTAGCATGTGGAAATTGTGTCTTTAGTGTTTAGTAATGAAGAATGTTTAGATATCAAAATTTTGTCAGGTATTGTCAGTGTTCACTTTATGGAAGGAGATTGATTGGACATGGACATTTATGTGCTGAGACAATAGTATTAAGTGTGATTTAGGATCCTGTGGAGTGCACATGAGCTAAATATGTTGTGAATATTTTTATAAAATTGCTCAACATGATCTGAGTGTCTGTTATTGCAGTATACACTCCTGAAACATTGTACACACGAATTGTGATTAAGTAATTTTCCACTAGTAGGTTATCGCACTAGACACTTGGCTGTGGCAGAAATTTGTAACCAATCAGGCTCTTAAAGTCTCTCCTTTTTGGGCCAAATTTGTGGTAAGCCAAGATTAGATCTTTTCTCACTGGTTTTATAACCACTTTAATGTATTGCATTACTGTTCTTAGATGAAATTTCTAGTATTTCTTCTGTTAGAAAATTTAATAAGGAATATTTAACATACATGGATGTTGATATTGCAAATATTTAGGTTTATGCTAAGTAGATGATGGTATGAGGAAATTAAAGTACCCAAGTTGTGTAGCCTCTTTTGTAACCCTTGTGCAACTTTAGTTTCAACTTCTTGCTGAAGTAATTATAGCTAATAGATTTATTTTTTGTTTATTATTTTATTACAAAAGTAATATTTGCTCATGTGAAAATTGCAATTGGCACAAAATTTGAAAATGTCTCCTTTACATTGTGTGTATTCTTCCTAAATTAAAGGCCTTTAATTAAAACCTAGAAAAAGATGAAAATGTGATTATGTTGACATTATATTATAATTTAAAAAGGGATCTGCAAATTGGAAGAGGAAGCAAACTGCAGTTTCAGTTTTTTTAAAAATGAAGTTAATGATTTATTTAAATATTATTATAATTTATTGAAAAGATTTACTGAGTTTTTCTTTTGCATTAGAAGACATAATTGAGGGGCTGGCCCAGTGGCGCACTGCTACAGTGCGCCGCTTGGGAGCGTGGTGGCGTTCCCGCCGAGGGTTCGGATCCCACATACAGACCGGTTCCTGCTCACTGGCTGAGCGAGGTATGGGAGCAACACCAAGGGTTGCGATCCCGTTGCCGGTCCTGGTCCGGTACGGGTGCAACACTGAGGGTTGCGATCCGTTGCCGGACACGAAAAAAGACAAAAAGGAAAAAAAAAAAAAAAGACATAATTGAAATATGGTGTATAATTTCATAGTTGGCATATCACTTATAGGATATTTTACACTGTAATTGTAGATTTCTTATTATCTCATGCTTATGTTATGATAACTGCTCTTTAGTAACCCAGAACAGTGACTCTAAAACTTGAGCATGCTTCAAAATGTCCTGGATCATCCAGAGAACTTGGTGAAAACACAGATTGCTGAGACTCAAGAATTTCTAACAAATTCCTAAGTGGCGCTAGTACTGCTGCTGGTCCAGGGACCACATTTTGGGAATTACTGATGTAAATAATTGAAAATTACAAGGTTAGATTTTGCTAATGTTACAGCTAAATCGGTTTTATACTTTAAAGTTTTAGAAAGCGTCTATAGCAGTCCCGCTCTACAGAGCTTTCTGTGATGTTCTGTATGCTGTCCAATGTGGTAGCTACTAGCTACTTGTGGCACTGAGCATTTAAAATGTGGTTAGGACAACTAAGGAACTAAAATTTTATTTAATTTTAATTAACTTAAATAACCATGTGTAGCTAGTGTTTACCATATTGGACAGTGCAAGTATATAGAAAGAAAAATAGTTATTTCATAATTATGGGCTGATAATATGCTCATGAAACAAATTAGCTTAAATTAAAACAACTGTGAACCTGCTTGATCCAGGTGATACGACAATTTAAATAATGTTTATATTAGAGTTTGTTTTCTACTTTTCTTGAGATAATTTTAAGCCATGGTAAAATTTAGGAAGGGGTTAGGGAGTAGATGAGGTAGTCTCCTAGAACGGATATGTAAACCAGAGGGTTTGTGGAACATTACATTAATTCATAACTAATAGACTTCAAATGCCATACTGGCCACTTAAAACTATGTTGACAAGTGTTCTTTTGCCTGTTTTTAATTTGTAAAAACAAAATCAGTCCACTGCACTAATGCATCAGTTACTTCCACTTATGTTTCATTTGCATCCTTGATTGTGTCATTTTCTTTTAAAAATTTTTTTTTGGGCGGCAGGGTGGCTGGCTGGTACAGGGATCAAACCCTGGCATTTGGTGTTGTCAGCACCACATTTTAACCGTCTGAGCTACTGGCCAGCGCCCGATTGTGTCATTTTCATATATAATGTTTATAGGCTTTGTCATTCAATCAGCTGATATTTGAGTAACTTTCTTTATGTGGGGCACTGGGGATCTAGCAGTGAATGAAACAAACATACACTTCCTCTTGTAGTTTACTTCTTTTTTTTTTTTTTTCCTTTTTGTCTTTTTTCGTGTCCGGCAACGGATCGCAACCCTCAGTGTCGCGCCCGTACCGGACCGGGACCGGCCACCGGATCGCAACCCTCAGTGTCGCGCCCGTACCGGACCGGGACCGGCCACCGGATCGCAACCCTCAGTGTCGCGCCCGTACCGGACCGGGACCGGCCACCGGATCGCAACCCTCAGTGTCGCGCCCGTACCGGACCGGGACCGGCCACCGGATCGCAACCCTCAGTGTCGCGCCCGTACCGGACCGGGACCGGCCACCGGATCGCAACCCTCAGTGTCGCGCCCGTACCGGACCGGGACCGGCCACCGGATCGCAACCCTCAGTGTCGCGCCCGTACCGGACCGGGACCGGCCACCGGATCGCAACCCTCGGTGCTGCCCCCGCCCCTTGCTCAGCCAGTGAGCGGCTGGGCTGTATGTGGGATCCGAACCCTCGGCGGGAGCGCTGCCGTGCTTCCCAAGCAGCGCACTGTAGCAGTGCGCCACCGGGCCGGCCCAGGATCTTGTAGTTTTATAGATTACTTCTAATGGGGGCAGTCAAGAAAAATATATAGTCTGTCACATGATAAGTGACAAAGTAGGGAAGGAGCATAGAGAGTGTGGGGTAGTAGGTTTGTAATTGTAGGGGAGAAAGCCTCACTAAGGTATCATCTGAGCACAGATTTGGTGGAGGGGGAGAAACAAGACACACAGAGTTGGGGTACAAGCATTCCAGACAGAGGAAATAGCCAGTGCTAGATTAGGATTTGGGGTGTGGGAGAAAGATTGGAGGCAAGGATATGACACAAGTTTTAGGCCATGGCAACTGGAATAATTTGCCACTTTCTGAATTGGAAATATTAAGTAGTGAGCAGCAGGGTTTTATGTGGGGGGAGTATGGGAGATCAGGATTTTATTTTGGGGAATATTAGGTTGGAGATATGTATAAGACATTTATACGTATATTCAAATATATGTATATTCAAATTTTAATAGGTATTTGAATATGTAAGAATTATAATAATTTGTAGTTTTTGTATGCTAAAATGTCTGCTAAAATTTACTTTTACAAATAGATTGAAATCACTTTTTAATTTTATTTAGAGCATCAGTTCTTAGACACTAGTAGTTTAGCTAGTGGAAAAGAGCATTTATTCTTTTTTTTTTTTTCCTTTTTGTCTTTTCTCGTGACCGGCAATGGATTACAACCCTCAGTGTCGCGCCCGTACCGGACCGGGACCGGCAACAGGATCGCAACCCTCGGTGTTGCGCCCGCACCTCGCTCAGCCAGTGAGCGGC